TTACCTACTGAAACCAGAGTACTATATTTTGATGTACATACAAATGACTCTTATAATTACAATCTAATCTCCTACTTCCGAACAGCAAATACAATCTGGTATTAATATCAATCAGCCGTAACTAATACATAAGACCACCTTGATATAACACAGATAGATAATCTTAATGTAGTCGATAAATATCAGTGAGGCTTCCTGTGGACTTATGTAGGTAACATAGCTAGCTAGCAACAGTGACAGATCTGTACATAAGTAGCCACTCCCGTGGTATCACCGTTCTGCTTAGTTCCTATAAGTCTTACTTTGATGTTTTACCTTTTGTGTGACCTTGGAGCATTCCTGGATAAATAAATAGGCTATCCACCACAAAAAGAATTGCGTTGCGAACCACATCACTGTTTTTGAGGGGGGAAAATCATCAAATTACTTCTCCCGCCTCAAGTCAAGCGAGAGGGAGTGCCAGACTCTTACCGACTGAAAAACCACCCAGTTCTTACTCCTGCTTTAAATCGGAGCCCCGGTAACTCCTTAGGAACCACGTTGTGTTTCGTCGTGTGAGTGAAGTTACCAGAGGCCCAATTACCCCCCTCCCCAATCTCCCCAATCCCCGAATCCCCAACCATCCTCAAATTCCTAATCCCCAAAAGACCTGTAACGCACTTGCAATACCTCTGGTGTTTCGGGTGTCAATGGACGACGCCTATTTCTTATCACCAGGTGATCCTCAGCTCGTTTATACTTTATAGAATATTCAATTCAAACTAGTAGCTTTCCAAAAATTATCACGTTAAAACAAAGTATACCTAAAGTAGATAGATAGTGGTGTGAGGGCGGCCCACGATGTTTAGAATGGGGTTGTGTCCCTCAGGCTGTAGGCTGCCAGAGAACAGTAGTCACTACGCATTGCTTATGCATAATTAGGAAGAAGTGAAGCAAGTAATGGTGCCTACACTTATTGCAATAAGGATTAAACTCATGCAGCAGATTTTGTAGTTTTGCGTCTAAAAGTAGAGATAGTGTGCTGAAACTGACACCAACCTTCTTCGGTTTCTACGTAATAACTAATAAGAAGAAGGAAGAACCGTCCCCAATGGAACACTGTTTCCAATATTCCCATCTCAGAGTAAATGAAATCACAAAGTAGGTAAATACATAAGTGGTACATCAATCGAATACTGTCAATTAAATACAAACACAAGTGGTCAAGTTCCCATGATTCCGATCCCTGATCTTCCGAATGAATAAACATTCCTTATAGCTTAGTAGACCCACGTTCCGCGTTCAGTGGTCAAAGTGTGCCAATTTTAACAGCCAGCGACCATTATACAGATGTGCATAATCTCAGCGTGGCTGCCGCCCCCCCTCCACCCCTTTCACCTGCCCTCGGCTCTTCGTAGCCCACTTCCGCGACACACATTCCCAAATCAACCGGATTGGAACCTAGATATTTTGGACAGTGCCTTCCAAAGCAAATACCACCTTCACCCACCAACTTAAAGTTCCGTTTGCCTCACCTCTCCACGTTTAAAGGAAAGTATGACTTGTTATTTTGATTTTAAGGTCGATTAAAGCGTTGAAGATGAATGATCAATGAATTCAAAACGGTACGCGGCGTTTCGGCGCGTGAGTTCAAATTTGAATGATTTTTAAACGACTTCATTTGATTTTTGTCGTTAGAAAATTTACTTTAAGTAATAGGATAGAAGGTTGTTAATTGAATGGCAGGTTTTATAGGTTTTGGAGTACACTGAGCTAGCACATCCAAAGTACCGTGCGACTTTTTTGAATTGCAATAATAATGTTTATTTTTCGTCGGTCGGCGCAGGCGCAGGCGCGATGTTTGACACACTTTGCACAACTTTTACTATCTTTTGAAGTGTTACTCGAATAATTGTGTGTAATTATTTACAATAGAACAGGACTGAGATGGCTATATTGAGAAGCTAGCTGTGGGAAAAACGAACTGCCCCAATATTAATAGCACACGCTCGAATCTTATGTAATTCAACTTATATTTGGAACTACCTTACCTACCATTACCTATACTAATTACTCATTGGCTAGCTACCTACCTACAAAGCAAGCTATAGGGAAAGAAAAAGAAATCCATGGTAAGCAGGTGAAGATGAACGTTTTATAAGACATTACCCACTTTAAAAGTTGTATTCTCAGTGTGTTCTATTGTAATTTGTTCTCTATATTATTAGTAGGTACATAGGTAGGTGATCCGTCAGTAGCGCATACAGCGTTTAAGTTAAGCACTAAACGACACATATATTTATCTTCTAAAATAAATTACATGAAGCATCGAGAACGCTAAGTAAACACTACAAGGTTTATGAAAAGTGGTAGTGTAGTGCATCACTTAAGCTCACTTATACGTGGGCGGCTCCACGGTACATAGGAACGGTCGCTGGTTCGGCATCAACTGGTTCCTCAGAACCTCCAAGTAGGTTACTCAAGTAGGGCAAGCAGTCTCATGTTGGTTGTATAGAACCAGATGGTCACGCTGTTGAATTTGTTTACAACTCTTATTAATATAAAAAACTAGCTACTACTACTAGCTTTTACCCGCGGCTTCGCTCGCGTCAGAAAAGGATAAAAGTAGCCTATACCAATGTATAGGCTACTTTAGCTTTTTAGGCGACGCGACGTGTGTATTGACACACAGCGCCATCTATACCAATTCTTTTGTTTTCCCTCGGGAATACCAAAAAGTACCTACCCTATCAAAAGGACTTCTAATTTTACGTCTGCAAAAATTCAAAGCAATCGATTTCGAAGTTACGGCGTAAAAGCGGAACAAACAAGCAAACAAACAAACTCACTTTCCCATTTAGGTATAATAGTAAGGATATACTACATAGCTTCTGCCCGCGTTTCCGTAGGATAAAAAGCCTGTGTTTGCCCAGACCATTATCTATCGCTGTTATATTTTTTTCCCCGATCCCTTTAACTGTTTTGAGGTAATTGAGTAACATAGGTAGGTACTATACATAGGTACATACACAAACTCACATACCTTCGGATTTAAATTATTGGTAAGAAGTAAGATGAAGATACTAATATCTGCCCTCTGCCAGTGGCGTCCCTATTAGTATGTACTTATTATTTCAGACTACAATCGGTGCTCACCAGCCGAAGCACCATGCCGAACCACTGCTAAAGGTGATCTTCAGCTATCATCCATTGATGGAAAGGGATTGATGGTGATGATAACTATAAATACTTAAGCAGCAATTGTCTTTCATATTTTAAAGTCTAATCTAATTGTTAGGTATATAGGAAACAACTTTAAAAGAGAACCAATATTTAACTAATATAATAGGTACTTTACTTGACTGCCATGTTGGCTAAGTTCGCAAGTGCGACTGCCCGGCAAGGGGTGTCGGGTTCGATTCCCGGGTCGGGCAAGTATTACTAGGGTATTTAAAAAAATCCCAGTAGTAGCACGGAGTCTAGAATTGTGCTCGGTATTAGCAATAAGCTCACCCCTATTACATGGGACTTATAACTAAAAAGTAGGTGTTACATTGTACAGTGGCAGTTCCATAATGTGCACGTCTTTTTTTTAAGGGGGGAAAATCATCGAATGACTGCTCCCGCCTGTGTGAGGCGGGAGGGAGTGTCAGACTCTTACCGACTGACTAAAAACCACCCTGTATCTTCTCCAGCACATCGAGCCGGAGCTCTGGTAACCCGTTAGGTTCTCCGTGATTGCCTACCCCTTCGGGGTAGGGTTAGGGTTATGTTATATAGGTAAGAAAGAAAACAAAATTTTAATTTGTTTTGATCCGATTTATTTGATCCCCAAAAGACACCTCCACCATTTTACAGTGAAAAATAAATGTTGTAACAACATAATGATCAACAAAATAAAAATCTAGATGATCTAGCGAAAAATAATATCATACTGGTCTATGACAAATTAATAGTCAACTTATTAGACAAGTAAGAAATTAATGTTAGTATAAAGAATTGAAAATATTCATTGACATGCGGACTCCAGGTTGAATATCCAATAACATTTGCAAACTCCAATAAATCAATAACCGGAATAAGACAAAATAAATTAATAAATAAGTTGAATAATTTACTCAAAAATTATTAACAACTTATTTTGACAACATTAATAAAATAACAGAGTTCAAATAAAATTTATTACTTATAATGTAAATGATGAAAAAATATTAATAATTAATATGTTCAGTAACTATTTAGTTTTTTAACAGAACACTCGGATTCTTTCGTTCTACTTTCAAGATAACTGTACCTAAATAAATTTTAATTGCTGCTAAAACTGCTAATATATTCAAACTTTATTAAGCAAAATCTAGACCGATTCAGGTTTGAAAAAAATCGGAATAACGGCCTCAACAGTAATTTAATTGGTTCAGTGTTACAAATTCATACGCCATTAACATTTTATTATCAATACTTACCATTGATTCAAGAAAATGTATTGAAAATATTTAATTTTGAAATTGTTTATAAGTTGTTTCAGCAGTTCATTTTTACTGTTAAAATATCCGCATGTATTCAGATTCTGATTTTTTTAGTTATTTTATACACTAAAAGTAATTAAAATGAATAAAATGTTTTCATGTTTAGTAATTCCTGCTTTACAAAGCTTGGTCACACTTAAAAGATAGAATTAACAAATTAATTTGTACCTAAGCAACTACATTTGGCAGTTGTTGGTAACTTATCAATCAGAATCTTATCAATGCAAGTGTGCAATGTCTATATTTTAATAAAACATATTATTAATTAACTTATTGCTATATATCTGGTGTTTACCAGCGAATAAACATAGAATACTAACATCAACATTATTTATCTTTGATCTACAACAATTAATACTGGCATCGTATTAACACCACGATTTATTCAACAATAGTCAACATACTATAAACATATTAAACACTTATAATGTATCAGTCAATATTCACAATACTAGATTATTTTGATTTAATAACGAAAAATTAAAAATAAAAATCTTTATTTCTGACTTTGAGTACAGCGCCATCTACCCGCAATAGAATCAACTAGATACTTGTTTTGACAGCAGTTGTAAAATAAACTTAATTTACTCTTTTCCTGTCAAAACTGGAAAATAATTATTGAATTATAACATTAACTTTTTTTCAAGAGCGGCCCAACGTGGGTCAAGTGGTGAATTTAGTGCGAATGATTTATAAGTGTCAGCATCAGATATGAGAGATGGCGTTGCCTCTCCAAACATCATGTAGTTTTCAGTGGCGGACACAGGTGACGCTACTGTGTTGTTGCGACGACGACCCGATGCCATGCGGACACTGCGCATCATGGCAGTGGATTTCATACGTTCTGGAAGAAAATAAAAATGAGCTTTGAATGTAAAGTTTTTAAATAATTTAATTAAGTTATTTATTATTAGATAAGGTAATTAAAGCATGAACAAGTTAGGTTAGTTAATTATTTACTACGTCGCTTCGGCATTGCACAGGTTCTATTTTCCGACAGTCCTGGTGAATGTACTACTGTTTTCACTAAAGGGAGTGTGTTATCTAGCGGGGGACTCTTGAATGCCGAATTTCTGAATCGAGTCATTTTTGTCTCTTTCCAGATGTTCAGGGTGTTCAACCAGGAGCTGTCGATAGTATTAAATGGTATCTGTGCACAACGGACCGTCTGCGGTGGCGAGCGGGCAGTACTTGGAGGTGTGCGCGTGGTCCCCGCGCGCGCCGCAGCGCGGACACACGAAGGCGCGCAGCACGGGGCAGCACACGGCGCCGCGCGCGTCCTTCAGCGCGTGCCCGCGGTAGTACGACTCGCGCTCGCCGTTGTTCTTGCAGAAGCGACACTCCTGCAGCGACTGCGCCTCCGTGCAATGAAGAAGTAAGCACTCTCATAAATGTAACCCAATAAATATCAAGAGCAAAAGAACAAACGGCCCCATGGAAAACTGACATCTTGCGTCATGTGTTGCCGTGTGAATGAAGTTACCGAAGCGAAAGACCTATCGTTAACCCAAAAAGCCGAAACACTTGTGACTTCTTTGGTGTGAGTCTCTACGGAGCACTGGTTGCTTACCATCGAGATATCCGTCGGCTCATTTACCTGCTTATTTAGTTCATTCCCCTATGCTATGAAAAAACTCAAATCAGTTCTATTAGATTGACAAAATGACCTAGAGATTAAGGTGAAATAGAATAACTTACGGGTTTCCTGCATCGCCTCATGAGTTCAGGCCTGCGCTCTATCTCCTGCAACAACGCGTTTACCACAGCGTTGGGCAGAGACTGCAGTACCGCATCTGATCAGATGACAGACTCATCGGTGGAGCACTAGCTGAAATGTTATTTATTGATATTCCATAAAGCCAATAAACGTTCACGGCTTAAAATAATGCGTCAGTGTCAGTTGTAAATCCTAACTCATCAATAACATTAAGAAAAGGAATTAAAGAAAAATGAAATTCAGCAATATTGTTGCATAAAACTAAATATTGCTAAATAGAGGTTAAGATAGGAAACTGGTTACAATGCATGACATGTATAGAGCCTGTATATCTACAGATAACCCTGTCTCTAGCAGCGGAACACTGAACGAGGACTTCAACTAAAAAAACCTTAAAAAAGTACACAACCAAAAGATTCTATCTACAAAAATATAAATGACCTTCGACAGGAGTGGAATTAAAGAACGCCTCGGGTTGGAATTCCCTTGGATGGAATTCTCTTGGGTGGACCTCCTTAGGTTGGAACTCCTTAGGGAAGAACTCCTCCGCAGTGAGCGACGGCAGCCACTCGGAGCGCGGGCGCGGCAGGCGCGGCGCTGGGGACCGCTCGGGCTCCGGCCATGACTTCTGTCGCAAGTACACGCTCGCTGGACCCATGCCTCCGAAGGTATCTGGAAGAAAATAAAGCCATTCACTGTTAAATCTTCTCTGGCTGTGAGGTTTAGAATCTGATTTCATATCATACGTTTAATGGCTGACCTAAATATAGGCCGAGCGAAGTGTGCACCCAACTGCTAATGGTCTGTAGTAGACATAAAACTTTGCAGTAAAACAATAAGGTTGAAAATCGATTAAAAATATTTGACTGATTGAAGTAGCGTGGTGCACCAATGTCAAATTGTCTTAAAGTTACAGTTGGTGCTTACCAGAACGATTGCCCGGGTTGTTCCAGATCCTGTCTTCCTCAGGAGTGTATGGCGAGTCCAGCCCATTCATACGGAACTCCTTCATTATGTCGTCCAGGTGCACCTCCCAGTCACCACTGGAATAGAAGTTGAATGAACATGAACGCGATTTAGGACAAGTTTGTAATCACTTCTCTAATAACAGTCGTTAAGGCGTGCAATTCTTTGCCAGAGCCTGTGATTCCTGAATGCGAGAATGCTAGATTGGTCAAAAACTCAAAACACTAACAAACTGTATTTGAAATACCTACTTAAAAATAATAAATTAAGTATAAAATAATTGGAAAATGGAAAAAAAATAGCAGACGTGGACCATAATTAGCTGGATCATCACTTTCGCACCAGAGGAGAAAAGAAGAGGCTTAAGATATTAAAACTAAATCAATAGGTACTCACAGTCTTGGTAGCTGGCAGATTTCTTTTCAGCGGGTCGTTCTATTGGAGACGTCTTGTACGTCCACACATCCTGCGGAGGCCATGTTGTGGACTGTAATACGATACGACTTACGTTAAAACATTTCCTCTTGCCACATATAAACCACCTAGCTAGCTAAGACCTAAGAATTGTCAAAAGCCGAAAAAAAACCTATGATGGTTCACCCAACTTGAGAATCAAACCCGAGACTCAGCAGTCCTGCGAATGACATACAGATCAATGAGGCAAACAATAACAAGTTAGTAAAAAAATAAATAGGAGATGAGATCGAAAGTATCGAAACACATGGGTCATGGGGTCTCAGGGTACATTCGGTTTATAAAGAAATTGTTCGTAGGCTAATCGACGCTACTCATGACCAGAGGGTTTTTTTAAGAGGGGAAAATCATCGTATTACTTCTCTGTGGCTCAGTATAGGCGTCAGCCCTACTGGGCCCTATCTGTGGTGATCTGATGGCTCTTTGAGGCGCGCGCGCAATCCACCCGCATCCGCAGGCCCGTACTTATGGTGGCCGGAGATCGTCCCGCGATCCCCGCCGCCCGGAGTGTAATTCGTGACGGCTGGGTTGCCTCATGGGCTTCGCAAACGAGGAAACGGCATCCCAGTCCTCCACGCTTTCCATGATGACCCGGACTAGGGCCGGACGCGAGAGGTCACCATTGCAGATCACATCACTGATTGCACGGCGGTGCTCAACCCACGCAGGGCATTCCCCTGCCGTGTGATCCACCGTGTCCTCAGGGTGGTCCTCGCAATAATGACACCCGGGCATTTCCTCCCACCCTATCAGACACAGGTACCTCCCGAAGCTCCTATGTCCGGTGAGGACATGCGTCAGGCGACAGGTAAGGACGCCGTAGTGTCTCTCAAGCCGCTCCTCAAAGAGGGGACTTACCGCTGCAATGGTAGCGAGCCCAGCCCTCGGTTGCGACAGTCGTTCCTGCCATTCCGCCATGAGATCGCGCCGGAGCTTTTTCCGCCACGCACTTATCTGGCGCGGCAGCGGAGTTTCACCCCGGCGACGTGCCTCCGCGCGCAGACAGAACATGCGCGCGAGCACCTTCGCCTCCAGATCCCACGGCGGTAATCCAGTAAGCAGGTTCGCCGCCTCCCCGGAGATCGTGCGGTATCCGCGAATAATTCGGATCGCCAGGACCCTCTGTGATGTGAGCAGCGCCCGAACGGGTCGCCGCATCAGGTTCGACGCCCACACAGGGGCGCCGTAGAAGGCCATGGACCGCAGTACCCCGGGGTCTAACCTCCGGCAAAAGGCGTTTGGCCCCCGTGACCATAGGGCTGGGGATATTTCTTCAGACAGAAAACAAGCATTGCCATTCAACGTGACAATGCTGCCTTCTGGGAACGTTCCCCAGTAACAGGGATGCGGACGAATTCTTTGATGCCTAGCTGATGGTATTTTTTTTCTTTTTTATTCACCGTTCTAGTTGATTTTAACTTGTATACATTTATGTTATTATTTAAACTGTCAAACACCAAGCGGTCACCGGTGACCGCGACCTATTGTTCTTTAATTGTGTCTATAAAACCGGTACTCGACGAGTTAAGGTCATTGTCTATAGGTACTAATATTATAAAAAGGTACTAATATAAAAAGGGGAGTTGAATACCTAATTATGAATGTCGCAATAGGGGGCATTTACCCACTTATTTGTATTAACAAGAGGAAGTCTCAGTGGGTCAGTATTTAAAAAAAAAGTACCTAAGCAATTACCAAAACTACGAACGAAAATGTATAAAATATCCAGTAGGTAGGTACCTATATATAAGTAGGTACGTTAATCAACACAAGTACGTACTAAGGCACAAAATGCTCACGTTGAGGGTAAAATTAAAACAAATTTCTAAATAAAATATTATCAAGACCTTGACGTAATTATTATTATGACCTCGATTTTCCTAGTTTCTAGATTAATTACTAGAAGTATCTAGGTACTAGGAATGTTCCGCGCGTCGCGTTCTGCGCGCGCCTCAAGGAGCCATCAGACCACCACAGATGGGGCCTAACAAGGCTGATGCCGATACGGAGCCGCGGAAGACTTAACGGGTTGCCGGGGCTCCGGCTCGAAGTGCAGGAGTAGGAACGGGGTGGTTTTTAGTCAGTAAGAGTCTGACACTCCCTCCCGTCTCACCCAGGCGGGAGAAGTCATTGGATGATTTTCACCCCTCAAAAAAAAAGGTACTAGGAATGTTTTAGTAGGTGCCTAACTAGGCTATCAATATACAGTAACAGATAGGTAAGTTGCCCTAAACAGTCCAATGTCTCCAGTTGATTTTCGACTTTATCACGTAGTGAGATGGTTGAAAATATACCTAGGTCTTGAATTAATTTCTTAGTTTAGGCTAACTTGATCGGCCGATGCGACGTCTGATGTCTACCTACCATAGAATAAAATACAAGTAGTTACCTACCTAGGTAAGTACTTTTTTACTTCTACAAGGACTTCTTATCAGCATACTAAAACAATGAACCTACTGATCATGTGGCAGATTTATGCGCGAGCGCAGAAAATATAGTTGACGTCACAAAAATTATGTTATTGTCGACGCATGTTTTGTAGTTGTGGTTAATTAAACTTGGAACGAATATACAACAAAGTATTGAACGAAACTAACCAAGTTAGGTTGAATAACTTTCGTTCAATATAATTAATACGTACTTAGGTAACAGATAAAGGCACCTAGGTAGGTATTCTAGGTAGGTACTAAGTTAGTCAAGAAGGTATGTTTCGGGTACTTAACTACTTGATAACACCAAGCATCATCCATCAGTTTCGAACATTTTAACTCCTACCTTCAAGTCATTAATTATAAAACAATTACACAAAAAATACTCGGAAGAAACAATAACAAATGAATATTTTTCATAAATTTTCATATTACCGAGATCACAAAACATCCAAAATATTGATAATTATGCCAAACTTATCACAATAACAACAAGTTAAAACTTGTTGCCGGCGTCGCACGAATCTATTCACTTTATTTTGCAATAAAACACGATATTTTATCAAAAAACACAATAAAATACTTACAGAATTCGAAGAGCTGCCACTACCATAGTCACTGTAATAATTTTCTTCAGTTTTCATCGTTCTAAATTCAATTTTTGTTTTTTTTTTTCAAATAGGAGGTGCGTGCTCCTCGCGACACTACTTGAGCGGGAATGCGGGGGTCTCATTGGGTGATTTATTTTACTTGGCGGCAAAGATGTTAAGGCTCAATGCACGTTATTGTAACTTAATATTTTATACATAAATCCGCGGTGTTTATTTTAAAGTAAGCATTAGATGCGTTGTTTCTGTTGCGCCATAGGTAAAATCAATCTAGGTATAGAGAGTTGAGGTGGTGTAGGTATAAATTGTATCAAGCTCACTCACTTTACATCTAGGTCCTACATAAAAATATTGTTAATGCCTAAGTTACAAAATAATAAAAAGTTACGATAGGTAGGTAGATATTCTATGCCTCCTCGCCGAGTGTCATATTATTAATGGTAGTAATAGGATATAGACTTAAGGTTTCAACTTAAATTATTGCATAAATTCATTGTATATTTCCGTATGCACTTGTCAGTGTTTAATAAATGTCGTAAAAAATAAACTTTTGATTCGAAGTTCAAAACAAAATTATGGTAACTAGTAACATCTATTACAGAGACATCTGTGAAATTATTTGTGAACTAGATTCGAATAACATACGATGCTAGAAAAGGAAAAACAATAGATGGCGTTGTTTTGAATTGCATGCGCATACTTGAGTTTCTGGAAATTCGTTGGATTAGGGTAAGCAGACGGCATGCCTGTCAGTAATCGTGTTTTTTACACTTACTAAATCTTATAGAGGAAAGGAGTCAGTATAGTTTGCTCAAAAATCCTTTCACCAGTTCAAAATTTTATTTATAGGGTAATTACATTAGAATAATTTTATTATGGTTATTAAGCCATTTCTTTTGACGACCCAATGTCAGTTAATGATTACCGTGTATCAGAAAAAAAATCTGATCAACTGTGTTCGATAAAAACATTTCGATATGTATTGTTGTGTTCCAATAGTTCCAATTTCATTTACGATAAAAAAATAGTTGATCGCTAAACATCATTCAAGTAAAGAAATAAAACAAAAAAATTTAGTACATTAGCTTTTATTACAGCCTCGATTGTAGAGTACAATATCATAGGATCTCCGTTGAATACTGATTGCGTATGAGGTACTAAGCACCTTAGTGACCTACATTTTATTGTCCAACTGTAAGGGAAAATGGAGTTTGCACCTGCTATACCAGTCCTTGAATTATTTGATGGTATTTGAATAGGACAGGAAGATGAACAGGCCTATCGCTGAGATTCAGATTACTTCTCAACTCCAATTTTCGGCATTCAGTGTGCTAGAGCGAAAATTGCACTTACGATTATGAACAGCCATGATGAACATCATAAATGCAATTTCCGTTGATAAGAGAACTAATTTATTTGCGGCTGAATTTCGATATGTTGGACCAAAAGTTATACGATTTTTATAAAAGCGGCATCTTTTGGTTGGTGCTCGAACTAGCGAGGGATATCAACGTTCAGCCGCGCCTACGTGGTGTTGTATAGAGAGTGTTTAGTTGGCGTCGATGAAGTATTCCTGGGCAGCCTTGGTGTCGGGCTTGATGGTCTTGGAGCCAGGCTGCCAGTTGGCGGGGCACACCTCTCCGTGCTTGTCTGTGTACTGGAATGCTTGCACCAGACGGAGGGTCTCTTCCACAGATCTGAGAAAAATACACGAGAAAATATTTAGATTTTCCCATATCTATACAAAATGTTTAATATTGATTTGTTCCAATTTTATATTGTGTTGTGTAATACCTTAAATTTTACTAAAATATTTACATTTTACAAGGTATATTATCTAGCGTGAGAATAATCCATTGTTTCCTTATTTAAATTCATGTAGGCATTACCTATATTAATTTAATTAGAGGATAATAAACTGAAGGCCGCCATCGCGATCACGTGAGAACTGGCATATGACACGCATATGGTGAGTTGCACGCCATTATGACAATTCTACCATGTACTCATACCTTTTATATTCCCTGAACAAAAGTTATAACTGACATTTAAAGTGTTTAATTTATTGCCTAAATATGAAGACTTGATGACTGATATGAGTATAATTTGATACTTGGATTGCTATAACGAAGTAAATAATTTCTAACACTATCATAGAATGGCCCTTGGGGTTTTCCAAGCATTTTCACACACGCAAATTGTGAAATGAGTATTTAATATAAAAAAGGTTATTCTGAATCCCAATAAGACTTAATGATTACTGAACCCTGTCCTTATTAATTGTTTTTGGAACAAAATGACTACAAAATATTAGTTCAAATAAGCATAGAATGTCTCGGAGTACAACAGTTAGTACAATACTTCTGTCGCCTGTACAATATAAAATCTCTCAATGTATTTGTTATGCTGTAAAACAATAGGAAACTAAATAACAGTTCTTTAATGATCGTACCGAACCAAGTGGCGATAACTTATCAATCAATGAACAATATATTTTTATTGGCACTTTGTTCTTTATTATCACTTCACTGACTAAAGGTTACATGTTACGTAAACATGTTATTTGTCTGTCTGCACAGAAACTATTAATATATTAATTACTAGCTACTTCTCTGCTCAGCACCTATTGGTCGTAGCGTGATGTTTTATAGCCTATAGCTATCCTCGATAAATGCGCTATCCAACACAAAGAAGAATTATTCAAATCAGACTTGTAGTTACGGAGATTAGCGCGTTCAAACAAACAAACTCTTCCGCTTTATATAATAAGTATAAGACATAAGATAAGAAGTATTCTTATACTTCTTATTTATTTATTTATTTATTTATTTAAGCTTTAATGTACACAGAATCAAGTAATGGTACATAAGGCGGACATTAATGCCATATGGCATTCTCTCCCAGTCAACCTTAGGGTTAAATTGAAAAACGGCGAAAAAATAGGCATGTGTAATTATAAGAAACAAATAACATAAATAGACTTTAATAAATATAGATAGGTACAAAAAATATTTAAAATGTACACTACAATATAAATACAACATAAATATATAGGTATATATATGCATGCTCATATATATATATATACTAAATAAATAAATTCTATAATAATACATATATAATAATAATAGACCTAGACTCAGCGTTGTAGTGACTTTAAAAAGAAATCGTGAACATCGCGTTTGAAAGTGATTTATTTCTTATCTTATGTCTATCCCATTAAACTATTAATGGGAAGCTATAATTTACTATCCTTGTTGTGCACCTAAGACATAAGTATGTGTCACGCACTATACAACTCTGATTTACCTGTACAACAAGTCCTTAACAACGATTTTAGATTTACCCATGATTCATTGTCATGTGATTAATTTGTCAATATCGTGCTAGTTACACCTCTGATGTTGCAGTTGTGTACAGGAATACTTGCAATTGCACAAGAGCTTGTTCACCTCCTGAATAGTACAATAAAAACTAAATAAGAAATAAATAATTCTTACCGGCCAACAGGCAAGTCGTTGACGGTGATCTGCCTAAGGTTCTGTTTGTCATCAATGACGAACAGGCCTCTGAATGGGATGCCGGTCTCCTCATTCAGCACTCCGTAGTCGCGGGCGATGCGGTGTGACTTGTCACTGATCAGGGGAATGTTCATGGGACCGAGACCACCTGCAAATAAATTATTGTATGATTATACCTGTGCATGGTATAGTGACCTTGTGTATGGTAGCTAGTAATCATTATTCTTGTTATATGAATAGCTAATATTGATTTGAAATAGTATTAAATTGGACATTATGAAGTAGTGTATGGCAACTTGCTCTATAGATAAAGGTATTTTACTTGAATTGAGCAAACTTGTGTTGATTACAGTGATTAAATTAAATTCTGATTGATTGCTCAAAAATGTAAACGTTGATAAATAAAATTACAGTAAGTGATAAATAAGATTATGTGTATGACATGACACATTCCTGAATGTGGACTTGATGACTGTTATGCATTTGTAGAATACATACAGTAGACACATTTCTTTGAAATCAATGCCACTAAGAAAACAATTAACTGTGTATCTTCTCAATTCGTTGGAATTCTGCTTACCTTGTTTACGTGGGGTGTTGATCCAGGCGAGATGTGTGAAGTGGGAGTCGGTGGAGGCTCCGATGACCTCGCAGCCAATCTTGCGGAAGTCATCAGCGCGCTCGGAGAACGCAATGATTTCGGTGGGGCATACAAAAGTGCTGTGGACAAGACAATCGATATTATGTAGTGACGATTTTATTAGTCTACCATTCAATGTTATAACTTAAGACTAATATTCAATAAGTATTTTATTTGTCATTATGATTTCTATTTCATAGGACTTAGTTCTGTATCAGTTTGTGAAGCTCCCAATAAACTTAGCAATCTTAAAATAGCCTTATTTTACCAGGACGAGACACTAGCATGGTAACATTTAGGGTCCCTGTGAAACAGAAGGGATTGGTTTTGTTTGCACGGTACAATGTGAGTGTTCGTGGAGTGTTCTCAAAGAATTTTGGTTCCAAATAACAGCTATTAAAATGTAAATTCTGAAACCAGTAGCAGAGAAACTGGTAACAATTATGAAAACAATGCGAATTTCGTATCATATAATTTAATTAGTACACAATATCTTATCTCTACTTGAAGTTTGACACGTACAGGGTCAGCGACTTCGAAAATTAAATTAAACTGAGCAAATAGATAAAAATGTTGAAAATATTATTCAATTTACTTAGGTGACGCGATTTTATACGCAAATAATTTAGATAAGGTTTACGAGCAGAGATTATGACCGACTGTTCCTTTTTTCATTGCTGCTTTAGAGACTTTTGGACCTGATGTTTAACGAATGGTTACAATATTTATAGATCTTCACCCGCTTTTATGAGCATGAAACCAGCCCAGGGTTCAATGATGGGATGGGATGTAAGGTCCATTGGTACGGGTAACCGGTCGTGGCGGAGGGCCGGTCTAAGCCTCCGCCATCTGAATATATCGTCTGAATAGTCGTCATGCATGGGTTTAATATAAAATGTTTAAAGAATAATGTTCAATCTTTTAAGTTGACTGCCGAGTGCCTATACTCAAGAACTCCAAAATACAGTTCCTTAAAAAAAATTGAGCAGTTTATGCTGTTTTATTTGCACATGGCAGACAGCGCGCACTGTCGTATTGCACACGAGTCTGACTCATCTAGCGGTTTTCAATCAAACAATGGCGCGTGCGCAGTTGACGTGTCGTTCCAAAGATCATTACAACCGCATGCGTGGAATTCTAAACAGGTAATTACAACGCGATCGCTTCTCATGTTTACTACTCGATTACGACGAAAACTCGGTCGGTAATAACTCAAGGTATGAAGTTTGTAGGTAAGTAGAAATATGTAAGGAGAGCTGTTTATCACATATCCAGCAGAATTACTATCTGCTACAAAAACAAATGATTTGATCTTCACCTATCACCTAACGATGATGGGCAAGATTTTAAATGACTTATGTAGCTAAAGACCGACGTAAAGCGATGATCAAAGATGTAGATAAGGACTGGAGTACAAGCAACATAAACCGCGCCGTCCCTCAACACAAACACTCGTTGTAACCAATCCTTTCCCTTTACCCATTCTGTTTCTCATGGCTAGTGTCCCTCGTGCCTTGGTCATGGTCATTAGGACCCTCGTTGGGAGTTCGCTGACACGAACATACAGCTTTCTGAATCATTTGCAGAAAAGACGGAGAGGGCACAGTGACTGCTTTCGAGATCTCTTCTTTCACTTCTGCGGTGATGTGGGCCTCCCTGAACATAGTCCTTTACCTTACATTTCGTGTTCACAGAAGCACCATGGCTCGATGGGGAATGAAACTTAATCCAAGGTTAAACCTTGCTATTTCATTGCTACAAATACCATCAAATGACCTAATCTGTGTACACAGTCATTCTGCACACAAATACCGATCGATATAAAGGGTTAACAATTTATTGCTCACAATAGGAATCTACAATAGAATTTATGGAGTCAGCATTCGTATGTTAGAGCTGTAACACAGTTCTCCGACATGACCTTATCTTATTTTGCTATAAATATCAATACGTTGAGGTTTTTAAGGAAATTAACTGAAGAGTAGTACTAATTTTAGATACGCTCTTTACTGTAACTCTTCGACGATCATAAGCTAGCGTATGCTAAGTGGGTTACGAGCTATTACGATTGTGTGGTAATGAATGGGACCGGTTGGAGACGGATGTCGTGCGGCCGGTTCAAAGACCTGAATTTATAATCAAACCATTTTACATAATTTTAAAGAATGAAACGTATGCTTGTATTTGATTTATTTTAAGGTCAGTAGTAGATTATTTTAAGGCTTCATTAATAAGTGACGATTTTATTCTTTGTGATTCCAACAGCGTATGATAACGTCTAACGTTGATTACAAGATTACTCAAAACATATTTCAGCCATTATAAAATAGTTCGAAATGTTCTAATGGCATCGAGACATGACATAAGCACATGATAATATTTGGAATGAGTGGGACTGTTACGGCTATAAATAGATAGCCACGATAGGAGTCAGTGTAACAATTATTGTGTGGATACAGCACATAAAGGATTAAATGATAAGAATAGCGATAGCAGAGCTGGCTTTCGACCTTTAGAATTAGATAGACGTAAGAATAGACTATTTTACATAATGAGAATAGGCCCAAAATTATAATGGAAGTGCACATTTACCTACTCATAAAAAAAATGAAGTAATGAAGTAATTTGAAGTTATCTAATATTTTCCTCAAAGACTAGGCGACTTGTATGATACAGGCTTACTCCAGTAACTGATTGACGAGGAAACTAGACTAGTTTCATTAATATGAGTCCCTAGCGTAGCTGGAAACTAATCGAGTTCCCTTGTCAAACAGTTAAAACGTTAATAAGCTTTAACAACATTAATTTAAATGTCTCACTAGATATAAATACAAAAATATTCCAATTTCTAATGTACTCACAAGTCCAATGGGTAGAAGAACAGTACTACGTATTTGCCCTTGTAGTCGGAGAGAGCGATGTCCTTGAACTCGCCGTTGACGACAGCGGTGGTCTTGAACTGGGGAGCGGGCTTGGTCAGCTGGAGAGGCATCTTGTTGAAACTGGAACACAAATTACAACCTTATAAGTAAGAGAACAAGATTGACATTTCTGTGATTTATTCTTTGTAACCGAAGAAGTAACTGTTAACGGAATTGTAACTTTATGACTTAAGAAACAAGATGAAAATTACATTGTAGATTGTATTGTTTCGTCTAAGGTTTGATGTAAAGATGATTTGTGTTCCAAGCCGAATTATCTAGAACTTACTGATACTATGTTCTGCTGATATGGAATTACTACTATCATTGACGTTTAGACTAAGCTAGTACCTATGAGATACAAAACAAAAACATTTAGATAGATTGATACTGTACTTCTACATTAATTACTATCAAAGTACGTACCTGAGACTGAGACTAATACTACATTACAGTTAAGGTATGAACCTTACTATATTACTTAAAACTTTCAGTAAATAAATTAAATTACGATTGCAGAGTCCCCAAGCGGTTACCGGTGACAGCTCTCCACTTACTCCACTAAAGACTTTATTTCCGATATTTAAAAACTACGTACTTTTGTCAACAAACTGTTATGGAATTTTCGTAATCGTGGATACACGAGTTATGTAGTAATAACTAATCTAATAGAATTATGTAAGTATAATATTATTATGTACATCAATGTTATGTTCAAAAGTATAAATAATATTAAATAGATATGTACCACAACATTTCAGCCACTTTAACTTCAGCTTATTTAAATTAATGAAACACGTTCAGAACACAGGTGTGTTGAAACACCGCAGAGCAGATCACTATTGAATTAATACATATTTATGTACCACATAAAGAATTAATTACAATTATCTGTGCGTGGTAACTGTAGGTACGTGATTATCACTGTTATCGCATCCGTCTCGAATTCCTATACAATACTATGAAGGCTACCTCAATGTGTGCGGAGGTAGATTTATTAATTTTATTGAATGTTGAAGGCTATGTGTGGTAGAGAACTGAAAGTTTTGACTTGTAGCCTTCCTTATATATATTTGTTGTAATATATGTCATTGCATGTAAAAATAACCCTTCTATTAGTTTCGCCGTAGTCGGGTAATTAGGTACTCATGTACACGAAGGATGTACTTAAGTAGGTTCATTACAGTGAGTAATTATGATTTTAAATTAGTTTGTTTACAGATCTAAGAATAGATAGAATAAAGGAGGAATGAAGCAAGGACTTCATAAAGCTAGTAAATCAATTTCACGAAGTTCTTAGTTTTCAATTAACTCGTCGAGTACCGTATTTATAGACACAATTAAAGAACAATAGGTTGCGGTCACCGGTGACCGCTTGGTGTTTGACAGTTTAAGTTACGAACTTCATGTAATTTTTACACTTAGCTAGATATACACAGGTCCACGGCGCCAAACACAATAATCTACCAAGTAAAGATTTAACACCATTTGACACAATGGGAAAATAGAGGATAAAATCTCAGTAAACATGTACCTACATCGTGACTGTTATGTAACTGGTTCATCGTGATAATAACTATGCAGGTCCCGTTATATTTTAACCAAGCAGTCACGATTTGAAGTAACACCGCAAGAACTCCGCTCGAATAAGTTAGCTCAAGTGTTCATTTAAAGTTCCGTGTTTAAGATACAAAATTATAATTATTTTAAATGTCTACACATATTGTATGTTCTGTGGCTTTTGGTTTTAGGATAAGATAATAATAGAGATAATTATAAAACTCGATTAAAACAACCACATTTTAATAAAATTTCGCGATGCCCATAAAATTTAAACTTGATTCAAAAAATAAAATATTCATATTGAATAGAATAGGTAGGTATGTTTTTTTTAAATAGAATAGACAACAGGTTTTTTTTTCAGACAAAAATCCTACTTCACAAACGCACGAAAATCCAATAAAAAACCGTAAAATAAAGTTTTAATTATTCACAACACTAAAGCACTATTAATTTAAAAATATTTTTGAGTAATAAAAATAATTTAAACAACTCACTTCGGAGACGTCTAATCACTGGGAACACAAACGGTCAACTGAAGTGGATTCGAAATTTGAAGTTCAGGCTGAACATGTCACGTTCAAGATCGATAAGATAATGCAACGAGTGGCGCTTGTACATGTCAATAACAATACTTATGTGGAATTAATTTGAGGACTTTTTTACTTGTGTTACAAATATGTAACAAAAAAACCGATGAAGGACTGATAAAACAGGATTCTAAAAGGTAGCTATGGTAAATGTGGAAAATTGTCTTCAAATGAATGGAATTGAATGCCAAATAGATGATGAAATGAATGGAGATGCTAGCATCTGGATGGATGTCGAATTCTGATAGATATCTATGTGTGATGTGTGCACTGGATATTTTCCGTTCAAGGTCTATTAATAGTTATGAGTAATGACGTAGGTGCCTAGTCAATAATTCAATAATATGGTGAAAGATCAATAAAATTGGTCATGTGTTTTATATAAGTTGCCTTTGAAAGTGCCTGTTGGACACTTTTCATGAATCAGTTTTTTATGTATACTTACTTATATTCAAGACATCACGTAACATTCATTAAGGGAAATTTTCAGTAAGTAGATAAATTGCTACTTAAAATTAAAATAAGTAACCACGAAATCTTAAAATGAATGGTGTTTCAAGTATTTTTTATCATGTAAATGTTACTTATGTATTTATTTATTTATACACTGAAACTCGGCGAGAATGTTCCATGGTGCGGTTACACAACAATTTTATCTATTCAATGTCAAAGGTTGCGGGTAGATAGTGTTATGTAAGAAAATAAATAATTAACCGAATGAGTTATCTAACAGATTAATTTCTTTAGTGCCTATAAATAGCGTTATATTAAATGTTTTTATTTTTATGGGCTAAGCTAACGAGCATACGGATCACCTGATGGTAAATCGGCGTAGCCCCCAAAACCAGATTTTAGAAGAGCGTTGCTGACCTTTTGGGGAATTTATTTTTTTAAACCTTTTCAAATCTCTAACAGATTTGAGGAATTGGGGATTTGGGGAAGTTGAGAAAGAGAGGAATTGGTTTTCCAAAACTTGTACGGCATACAGGGGCAACTGAGTAGATAGACAGCCGCGACACTTTAGACGTATAATACTGTGCTATTAGTGAGCTGACCCATTAGGTATTGAGTAAATACCTAATTTTTTATGACAACGTGGGAGTCTTCAGCGAATATGTGGATTTTCTATGAAGTAATTGAAACCACTTAATAAACTTTATTTTTAAATACGCTAGAAGCATTGTTAACGATCGTGAATGCGGTCAAGAGTTGAAATGAAAGGCTCGTTTCGATATGAAGTGCTTCAATAAAACTAGTAACGAACAGCTATTAGGTACTATCCAAATAAATATATCATATAGGTATCCACGTGTAAAAAAAGTATAGGAATCTTCTTTGGAATTCCACAAACATCAAAGAAACTGGTCGTTAAAAATCACCTCCGATTTGGTTCCGAGTTAAAATTCAAGGTTGTTCAACGTCCAATGTTACGAAATTATTATCTTTCTAGTTTGTCTGGTAGGTGTAAGAATAATTCATTAATTGACTGAATAATAATTCATCCCAATGAGACCCGTTTAGATTCTCAAAATACATAGTTATCGAAAACTTCATTTTCCCAAGCAAGCGAATATTTTTCCTGTTCATGTCATTATAATCCACGACCATTATTTTAGGGAAATAAGTAACGTGATTTATTTATCACCATTGCAGTTTGCAGACGTCTGAATTCTGTAAAGGTCACCTGTCTGGCCACATTCCTATTTGGCATCCCCAACTTGGTCCCCTCGGGGCAAGCCTGAAGTGGGAATTAAAACAACAATCCCATACGTACCGATTTGATATTTTATGAACTCGTTACTGACAAGGGTGAAGATAAATACTAAGATTACAAACTTTACGTCGTAGGGATTACTATGCTACCTCAATCAACTAACCTATATCCTCCTTCCGACAGATATCGGTGCAAATGTTGTGGTTGCCATTCGTGGACCGTGTGGGTAAAATTCTTAGTTTCTCTCCAGAGCCCAACTAGCAGGCCTCCCGTTCCATATTGTAAATATCCACTGAGCATTCCGCAAGTAAACATGTTTTTTAAAATGGTTTCCAAGTTTGTGACCCTGGGAAGGAGGACAAGAGCCCGTTATGATATGAAGAGTTCTCAGGGCTTTGACAGAAAGTCTTAGGTGTGGCAAACTGAAAAATACCTTAGGTCCTGGAGTGAAAAGTTCAAATTTATTCACTTTCCTCGAATTCCAGACATGTTTTACCGCCTCTCGTCCAGTGTCTACTTAAATTGTTGTTAATTTTGGACATTTCCACAAGGAACCAAATTGATTTTGTTGTGAAGTCGACAGTGAAATGTAAATAATGCTGCACTGAATAGATAATGTTAAGCTGTTTGTGAACGTTTATCTTGACAATGATAAGGCAATAGTTGGGGATAAACATAAACTGACACATTGCGTGTCAAATTTTGCGCATGTTTCCTCAATAAGTTTTGCACTTGGAAACATGACTGGATATAAAGCCTACTTGTACAGGAAATGGCACGATTATAATAAAAATTGTGTCTGTGGGCTTTTTTAGATTATACATTTTCTTCTCGACTCTCGCTAATGTGATGTCATCGCTTCGTGCGCAAAGTGTGCAAAGCAAACTACAATACTTGCCAACTCTTACAGAAAGTAGTTTAGTTATCGGGTCTATCTAGATTTCAGACATAGCAAAGGCAATTTAAAGTTAATTGTTTCAACGAAATACCATAAAAATAACTTTAGGAAAGATAAAGCGATAGTGTGACGTCACTGAGAAGCGATTCGAACGAATCGAAGGTTTTTATCATTAAAACCAATTTGTCTAAATAAAATAGTGACAAGATTAATGATGGATTCGAAGCCTTGACTTCGATTTGGAATGGCCGATAAGAACAGAGTATAATCGAATATCGTATATTAACGCTAGATTACAATACTGCTGTAGGACCGACAATCCTTCAAAGATGGTGTAACTGTAATAGGTAAATAATTTATCTGATTTCCCAGTTGTGCACCTGGGTATATAAAACAAATGTCAGACATCTTTAAAATTCTTGTGGTACCTAATCCGATGCGATACCGAATCACCTGGCAACACTCAGGGATTATGGATCTTAAGCAGAGAGGCCTTGGACAGATAGTAAAAACACATTAGGTACAGCTAAACAGCGATGATTTAAATAACCCAGGGAAATATGCAATTAAAGTGATTCGATCGTCTATTTAAATGTATCTCTCTTTTTGTAGTATCTATGTACCACCAAAGCTTGGGCGAGTCCAAGATACACTGCACTGTGGAATACCAAAGTAAATCTTGAATAAAATATCATTTGATATTTATTCTGGTTATTTGGTATTTATCATTTATTTCTGTTTAATCAAGCTGGTACCCGATATGATTTCCAGTCATCAAGTTCATAATAAAAAAATTACATACAAACACAAAACCTCCACTTTAAAAATCCGTTGTTTAGTTACCATTTGTAACTATATCATTTGTCATATAAGTGTGAAATATAATGCCACAACGTGACGTCATTATTTGTCAAAAATGGATGACAATGGTCATTGAAGATGATGAAATTATCAGCAATACCTACGATAAACTATGAAAGTGTGACGATGAAGTAATATGCAAATGAGATGACTCAGTGACAATGAATATTGATATAATTAACATGTTAGTTCAAGTATTTACATAATATTTAGATCTCGGATAGTATTTATTTTATCATGTCTGTAATATAAAACTCTACCTACAATGATCCTTTTTTGATTTCATATTTTTATGTTAATTATTATTGGATTTCTCCAGTGAATGATTCTGTTTTTATAGGAAACATTTAGATTATTATTATGCTTTATGTTTGTGTGTAAGATGTGTTATGATATGACAAACCTAATCATGGCTGGGCGCCATGATTAAGTTTGATTGTTATCTGAATATTTTGTATCCATTTTAATATAAAAAAATTTAGGCTTATTAAGTTTTTAAACAATTCTTATAACAATAAAAGGTAATTTAGTAGAAGTAAAAATATAAAAATGTCTTTGGTACCATAAAAATTTGAATACCTAAGTAGGTAATTTGTCTCTTTCTAATTCTTAGACAATTTACCGAAAATAGTAGGAGTTTCTTGTATTGTATTACAAATCCCACGTTTTTTGATCAGATGATTAGGTAACTCTAACTACTTATTAGGTTATTCAACTTAATTTATGCAAATGTTAATGACATAACAAAACCCAATTTTTAATTTTATGTAAGTAATGCTTTTTAACATATCTTTATAATTTTTATTATTATAATGCTGAACTGCCATACTTGGTGATAATTATTAACTTCAATTACATACTCCTTAGAAAAAATATTTTTATTCCAAAGACAATTGCTGAGGACTGCATTAAGTTACCATTAAATAACTAATAGTGATATCAAAGAAATTAAGATTAACAATAGACATAGACATACCATCACGCCTTTTATCCCCGAAGGGGTAGACCGAGGTGCAGATTACGGCACTTATTGCCACTGTACAATGTAACACTGACTTTTCACTATTTATATTACGATTATTATGAGTCTCATGTAATAGAGGGTGAGCCTATTGCCATATACAGGGCACAATTCCAGAACCTGTGCTACTGCTGAGTTTTTGTTTTAAACAGTCTCACTTGCGACCACTCGGCCAATGAGGCAGATTAACAATCGTTATACCTACAAAGACTATGTTTATTTCCAGTCGAAGAGTTTAATATCTTTTATTTCATATACTAAATAGGTACTATTACACCACACATTTATTTTATCAGCTGATAAATGTATGAAAATTGAAAAGTCATGTTTGTATGTCATGGTATGGTTCCTCATTGAAAAATGTTACTACACCCTTAATGAGTTTTTTGATGACCAAACCAGCAAATCTTAACACTCAATGCATACCGACTCAATAAAAAATCATATTAAATATAATAATACATATACTACATACAATAATACCTATACATTATTACGAAATTTATGTAAATACATTATTATAATAAAATAAAGATAATATTTTAATGTTTAATGAAAACAACATTTCTTATGTTATAATATAATAAGTATTGATAGTAGTTTAATTAGATTATATTTTTGCTTAATATGTTGCCGTGCCCTAGCCGGGTTTCATGTTGATACTGTACCTCATATAACACCAATTGTACACATGATATGCAATAAAAGAATTTGAATTTGAATTTGAGAAGTTACTAGCAAAGAATTTATTATAGCTACAACACTAATTAAAAATATCATTTTTTCTCAACATTCTACAGGAATAGTTAAGTGGTTGACTAGTTTACCTTGAAGTTTAGTCTGTTAATTGTACTTGTATGTAGGTATACTTAGTGACTAACGGGTCTATAAAACAATAGGTATACCTTCTCATTAGTTACTGAAATCTTATAATATAATGAATCTCATTACAATTTCTTATAAGATATTTACTACAGATTGTCATATAAGAAACCCATATTGTATTTGGATATTGAATAACTGTTTAATGTTTTATTGCAAATGGCAGAAAGTTTTGTAAATAGTTAGTTATTGAGAGTGATTGTATATTGTGAATACAATAGTCGACAACACAATTATTATTGCCTGCCATGCAACATGCTGTGGGTTTCATTCCCGCACATAACAACTCTGTGTGATCCACAAATTGTTGTTTAGGGACTGGATGTCATGTGTATGTTAAATTATGTCTGAGAACATACCCACAATACAAGAGAAAATCCCAGTGGGGCAACTCAATAAAAAAAATAACAATACTATTATGTGTTGTTGTGTGGTTCTATATATAAGTAAAAAAAGTTGACAGACTTGGTTACAAAACCTAAATCTTTCTAATAAATTACAGTAAACTAACAAATGCTACTCTAATCAAAATGAACTAACTGCCCAATCATAAATACTACAAGGTACTTGTATAACTTTGGATTTTATCGGCACCTCATAGAGAACGGCCTCATCATGGGCAACAGGTGTTCAGGCTTCTCAAGGTCGATGCCATTGCCATCATCACCTCGGCAATAGCACTTGTGTTCCATAGACATCTTTGCAGCTGACACTTGTTAATTTTCAACTAAATAGATGTTCTAGAATTAGTACATTATAACATAGAACTAAAGGTCTCATTTTGTCCGTCTTATACTTGGGACTGCTTTACTTAGACCTAATCTGCCAGTGTTAATTTACTACAAGGAGTAATAAAATTTAGGTAAAATGTAATAAAATAATATCCAAGTGACCTAAGAGGACAGCTGAGTCATGCCTAATGGTCATGCAATTTTAAAGTTACACAATATTTATCCAATATTTCTGCCTAATGATATTCAAAATGGCTTCGAATAGATGAATTCAAAATCAAAGCATGCAAAATCAATTTCATGCAATATAATTTTCAATATTTCAAAAACTGACCAACACCTTCCAAAATAAAATAATTTGCATGAAACCTCAAAAATCTCAGCACCACCTACCTACACCATAGATAATTTAATTGCTAAAATTATTGTGAATCTATTTCTGGCAACAACAGCGGCTTCTAGGATTTTTTTTTCTTGACCAATGGCAAAGGCGTAAAGCATCATGCCAACTCTGTCACCTTGAAAATTCCCCAAGTTCCACGAAACATTAAGATTGCAAGTGATCTTACAAGAATATAATTATTATAGTTATCTTTTAAAACTAAAATGGAAGGTACACAAAAAATATTGTGTAGCTACATCAAAATTCTTTTTATTTCGTGGATATATTACCTTTCTCCTAAAATCTTTTTCGCTAAATTCCCTGTGACTTCGTCCTCAGACTCACAGCGAGGCCTTTTCCTAACATAGCCTGCTTCTTGCATGACCTTCGATTTAAAAAATGTTAAAAGTTATAGATAGCATCAGAATCTCTTCATTCCTTCATCCCGAACATTCTGAAGTTTCTAAATTAACGGTTACTACCCCACTCATCTACACTATCCACTACATGCACATACAATATTTTTGATATTTGTCTAAGTAACTACAAATATCAAAAACCTACTAAATATACCTTTTAAAACTAATTTTGCAGGTAATTATAAGAACAATTTTGTGTTCGTGGTTTACTTGCTGACTGAGTAAGCATATTGTCATGACCACGAGATCTCTCAACGTTTTTTTACTTCCAGTAGAATCTTCCATTCACTTCCTAGCCAGTAATTTGCTAACAATACCTCGTTTGAATAGGATTAATACAAGTAAACATTTATAAAACCAATATAATCTACATGCTGAAATAAATTTTAACAAGATATAAACCAATAAGATTCCACTTACTTGGTAAATGTGACGAATTAATAAAAGAACGACGAACAACACGCACGTCCAGCGTCCGGTTACAAAATAATTGACAGTTGGAGCCGGCCGGAAAAGATGGCGCCTCGCGCCGGTATAACTTGCCAGTATTCAGCTCCATGAAAAATTAAATTGAATATACCTACTTTATATCAAAATAATTTAAAAAAATCATAAAAATAATATGCCAATATTTTTTTCAATACATTATGTTGCATCAGATATTTTATTACACTATACACTATTTACGAAATAATTAATTACTAGTGCATACTAAACAGTAAATATGTATATTACCTATCATTACGAAAAAGTTTACGCATTTCAGAAAGTAGGTGCCTACTTCAACCTAAGTACTTAGAGAAGCCTAAATGATGAACGACATCCTTGGATCCTACTTCGCAAACCTCATTTTGAAAAGTTTCACTCGTAGGTGGAAGGTGGCGTTGTTCACAAAATATTCTATTTCAAAGCTCTTTTTCTATTTTGTATTCTAAGTGACCCATATTTCCGTTGAAAAAAAGCATCTTTAACCCTGAATATAGGTTGTTTATACTAATCATGTGTTGCAAACGATATATTTTCATAGAACGAGAAGGCAGACCGCAGAACCAATACCAGTAGGTAACAGTTTCTGTAATTCTGTTGATACCTTCCACTGATATTGGTTCTGGTTGTCACACACACAATTCATGTCTCCTTTCTCCAAATGTTCACTCGATTGATGAGAAAACTAAGTAGGTATTTCAAGTAAGTGTACGTGATTCTAAAAAACAATGGATGTCGTTCTAGAAAGGTACTTGAGGAATAATAATAATCATCACTTTACCAAAAATATTGCACACATGGACGTTAAAAGGTTCGTAATCCCTGTTATAGATTGAAGGCCATTGTGCTTGTGAGAAAATGAAAAGTATAGTAGGGCATGTATTTCGGGTCCCGCCGAGAGGAGGCTATAAATCTGCACCTAATGTGACCACTTGACCGCTAACTGATTTGGAGCAGAACGCTTTATTACCCTGCCCTATATTATTTTGAACTCCATTGTTCCTTGTGAAAAAATTACGTAAAAATAAATAGGAGAATTGAGGAAAACGTGTATCTTTATTGTCTTAGAGCGCAGTAATGGTCTGTGGTAAGTCGCGTTTAGACGTCAAGTTGCTCCATGTTTTTTGATAGGCGCTAACCAAAGGTGTAATCGTAGATTGTAGACTTTTAAAGCCTCCAATTTGAAATTAGCAACGCTTAAATATGGTTTTAGTGGTTGTAAGTATTTATTTATAATATTCGTGAATAAGAATCATTACAGATTATTCGCGCTACTTTGTTTTAAATGACAAGCAATATAATTTTTAACCGACTTCAAAGAAATAAGGGGTTAAAGTCGGATTTTTTAATGTAGTTATGTGGTTTATAAACGAATTATGGTCATTTGAATTCCTCCTTTTTGTAGTGTAAATAAATAATCAGAATTATTTTTAGCTTTCAGGACATTTTTTTCAATTTGAAACGAAGCCAAAAAGTTCGCATTACTTAGTTCTTATTACTGAAAGCAATAAGCTAGGACAATTTATGTTGCAAAGGTGGGTTCCCTGGCAAGCTGTGGGAGATTGTTTCTCTGGTGCACATACCGTGACAAGTGTGTTTGTTCCGGATGTTGGTATTTATGGATGTTGCCTCCATTGTTCCTTCCTCTCATAGGTAGCTTTGAGAAATTCCTTGCTTGGAAGTAATGTCGGGAGTTAGTAATGTTTTGTTTAGTTTTAGTCTTTAAAGTCGTGAGGTGAAAATATTGTAAGGTGTTGTTTATTTAGTTTGATATATTTTTTTATTGTTTGTTGGTAGATTTTGATATTTTTTGTGGTAAGTATTGCATTTAGCTGTTAGTTGGTAACCCCAATTTCCAAGCTTTGTTGCTATCCATAGAAGATAAGTAGTTCACATAAAACATGCCGAGTATGGCTCAATTCGATATATTAATAGGTACCTACTTTAAAAGTTCTATGTGAATAGCTAAAGAGGAACATATCAATCAATACATTATCAATAATTACACAATACACCGTACACAAATAATTTACCTACCAGGTACTAGGCGCACAACAGTCGTAGAAGCTCCTTTAGTAATAAAATTAATCCGTCGTCTCGTGTCCCTCATACTAGCGAGTATAGTCCCAAGTCCATTGACAGTTCCCTGCGATCGTGTTTGTTTCCTTTGTAGTAAGCTTCCACCTCAGTGATTCTATTGTCTGTGATATCCATATCGACACTGGGTCCGATAGGTGTTTGAAATCCTGTCATTTTGCTTGTCATCTTCTTGGAAATGTTTCGAGTATTTCACGGTCTTTGCATGTGTGTGTAGATTTTCATCAACACTCCTAGTCAAAGTCAAAGTCAAAATCATTTATTTCGATTTAACCAGGAAGGCACTTTTGAACGTCAACAAACAAATTTAAAAGTGAATTTATTCTACCTTGTACTACTATTGTTTACGTATTTCAAACTATATAAAATCGTTGGGCTTCGCTCGCTTAATAAAAATGTAATTTAATTAACAGTTTCATGTTACAGGGACTACTTAAGCAAGTTACATATATACCAATCATAGGTTCTCTTACAGTTTGTCCAACTCCGCCAGTCCCAGTAAATTGTTCGAAAAATGATGCAAAAATCAACTTCATACAAAAAAACCTCTTCATGCTTGTCAGCTTCCTCAAAATGATGAAGTATTACAGTCTTTAGCTGGAAATAGGTACAGTACAGTGCAATCCCTGACTAGCGATGTTGGTAGGTCCTGCGAGACGCGCTCAATCTTGTTAACAGCGACACGCAATTATGTCCAATCTAACAGTCTTGTTCACCTGCACTCCTGTTTAATGCCTATATGTAGCTACTGCACTAGTGTAAGGGTTCTTAGGCGATTTTTTTAAAGGGATTCTGCTGGTACTGATAATTGTACCTAATTGCAATGTTACAAGGCGGAATTCAGTGACTGTTCCATTCAAACAGGAACAGCGTATTTAAATTGTAATCCGATTTAGTAGGTAATGATTATGTATGGTCAATAAAGAGCCATTAAGTAGCATATTGATTTAGCATTGAATATCCTCTATCAATTCTACAGTTATTAAAACTTCTACAGTTATTTTCAAGTGTGGGAGACACAAATGGGCCGGCTCGGCCAGAGCGATACCACGGCCTCACAGAAAACCGTCGTGAAGCAATTAACACTTGCGGTGTGTTTTGTCTTGTGAGTGAAATTACCGGAGGACCAATTACCGCCCTTTCCCCTTCCCCAATCTCCCCAATCCCTGAATCCCCAACAATCTTCAAACTCCTATTCCTCTAAAGGGCGGTAACGCACTTGTAACGCCTCTGGTGTTCCAGGTGTCCATGGGCGACGCCGATTGCTTACCATAAGGTGCTCCGTCTGCTCGTTTACCAGCTTATGCTATAAAAAAAACTCTGAACTTGTATGACAGCCAGAGAACATGGCATACTATTTGAACTCATCCCTGAAACGACAGCGCTGAAACCAACACCACCATAACTCGCCAACGGCATTTAAACCAGCATAAACTCCAGAAATTCATAAAAAAATAAAATAATATTCCTGGCAAATCTGACCGCCGATTAAGCGTGAAGCTGGGACCTAATTAATGTTGCAATAAAAAACCGTCGTGCGTCGCCACTGGCTTGCAAACATTTGAAACAATAAAGAGGAGAATGAACGCGCGCCTTCCGCCATTGCCCTGCGATTACTCAGTTTCCGCTCCACAAGCGAAATGGTTCGTACTCATTGCTGCTATGATCCTTATATTACGATTTAAACTTGGTAAAATAAGAGAAGAATTATTGTAGTGGGTTTTATTAGCGGTTCAGTTCAGATTTGTTTAATATCTGTTTTGTGTCTATCTTAGTATTGGCTGGATACAGTGGCCGCGGAGGATTTAACGGGTTGCTGGGGCTCCGGCTCGAAGTGCAGAAGTAGGAACGGGGTGGTTTTTAGTAAATGAGAGTATGACACTCCTTCCTGCCTAACCGGAGGGAGAAGTCATTCGATGATTTTCCCCCTTAATAAAAGTATTGGCTACAGTGACTACCAACTAACTATTGTCGTCAATTCTTCGTAGGTTATACGATCTACTGATCGCCATCAAAGCAAATATTAGTTAATTGTTCCAACAATATCAGCTGTTAACATTAAAAGGATTTCCCACTTAAGTTCGTTATCATTAAGTAGTCAATATTATTGTATACCGGCACTCGAAATAAGTAAGATACTAAAATATATTTTTATGATAGTTACAACAAAATTATAGGTAAATAGTTATACAAACTTGCATTCAAAATACCTATCACTTATAGGTATTATTATATCTAACCATAAAACATTTTACTCCATATTTCCATAAAAGGAAGTAAAAACAACAGCCGTTGCTCAACTGTTACCAAACTACAGGTACAATGTAGCACATTCTGCTCTCCGCCCAATAAATCTTTTAAGAGCTCGTCTTATCCATAATACATGGATGTATCGCTCTCTGAATTTATCCAATCTATCGCTTATTCGCCTCATCCGGCCAATGCTGATAGATAACTGGTTTAATGTATTATTTATTGTTGTTTTCATTTGTAGTCGAGGGCTGTGGGATATTGATCAAGTGCTCGCCTTCCCTGCAAGTCAATGGGGACTCCAGTGGATGTTGAGGTGGTGCTTACAACTTTCATACGTTGATTTACTCACTTAAGCAGTTGGTTTTTGTTTTGGGTTGTTTTTGTAGTATTATGGGATGTTTTGTACGGTTAACAGTGATGTAGGAAAGGGATGATGATGTTGTTTAAAGGTGTTTTAGGAACTGAATTTATTTTGATAACTACCTACTTGCTTGTCTAGATACTAGACAGCAAGAAACGCAGAAAAAATATTTTTAAATGAATCAATATAATATGTATTTTAGGAATCTAAATCTCTTTCTCCTTAGTCTTTCATTGCAAAAGGTACGCTAAAGCTGAGTAGTTCAATGTAGACTTCATGTCAACTTAGGTATGATTATGGAGCTAATTACCATATCGTCACATTAATCAATAATTCCAAAATTACCTAGGTACTGTAGGGGTCAGTGCACGGTGTACACACGCATGACAAATTAACCGGTGCCCGACTGTGCCGCTTGATTTGTTCCGATGATGGATAGTCGCTCCAATTTGTACTGCGCCTGTACATTACCGGCCAGTGATTGCTCACCGTAGATTTTGTTACTCTGTGATTTAGTACTTCAATTAAGATAACTTCAAAAAACTGGGTATAAACGAATTGTTTGTGTTATTTGGACATTTCTTTCAGAACAAATGTTACCTATATACCTGCTAAAAGTTTAAAAATACTCACCTGTAAATCTCTTTGAACCGACGAAAAAAAAAATCAACCAAAAACTGTGTTTTAATTTCGAGTCGATACTGAAACACATTTGAGTTCTGTATCCCTTTGAAATGTCCCAAAAATGCGAACTACATACATATACACAAATATGCATATGGGCCTTTATGTAGCAGCACTTCCATAAAGGTGAGTATACACGGCATGACAAATTAACCGGCGGTGTTGTTCAATGCAACTCGTATGATGGATAGCTATGCCGGCGCCAATGAGGACTCTAATTTTGATGACCATTTCACCCTAGTATGTACATTACTACAAGCGAACTGCAATGTGTAATGTGTGTACCTAGCTTATACTGGACGGATGGAATTAAAAGGGATGTGTTTGCAATGTGTAGTGATTATTGAATTGCCGCTTTGTATGATTTGTTCTGTTAAACGGTTATGGGATCAAATCGCGAGATAATTCTGGTCTTGAGATATTCGAACTACATGCATTATGAAGAGGTAAGACAGCTCAGCTTTGGTACATCAGCAATTCAACGGTAGCTACGTTAAAATCTACCTCGTAACTGTAACTAAAAAATACATTACTTCTATACTAATATCATAAAGAGGAAAGATTTGTACCTATTTTTGTATGTTTGTAATGAATAGGCTCAAAACGTAGGTACTGGGCCGATTTAAAAAATTCTTTCACCAATAGAATGCTACATTCTTCCAATTTGACATAGCCTACATTTCATTTTGAAAAAAAATAGGGATCCTTGGTAAAATTTGAACAATGTAACCGAAGGTGTAGAAAAATGAGTCTTAAAATGTCTTTAGTCGAATGCGCTGCCGAAACTATTAGCGATAGAACAAAATAATGTACAACAATATTGAAGAACATCGTAATGTCTACAAAAAACTCCGCAATAGTATATGTCTAACTTTTGTAGTTATGTCACTACAACAATCCAAATTTCCAAAAATAAATAATTGTCTACCCCATGCGAAGCCGGGACGGGCTGCTAGTATACAATATTTTGAAAACGCATAGCAACATAGCATTCAAGTAAGTACAGAACAATCCACTACCCTGTTTAAATCAACCTCGATGTCAGCGGTGGAAGCTAAAACCAGTATCTTTAGCTACATAAACGACTAGATAAGTACCAGGCTCCCATAATTTGCAGGCATTAGTCAGCCTTGACAAATTCACGGGTACAATATAACGCATGTTAGTAGCCGAAGCTACGTGCACAAACATAAATTCATTTCGATGACGTTACTGTGCGAGTGTGCGACGATTCGCGACGAGAACTGCAGACCCGTCGTTGCTTTGATTTGTGATTGCATACGTCAAAATGTTTATCGAAATGTTTTTTTTATTTAGTTGATGTATTTATTGGTTTAGGGAGTGGTGCATTGTTGTGGGTATTTCATTATTGATTGAAAATGGGCCGACTACTTATAATCTCATAATTATAAAAGTCTCCAAATTACATTTTTAAATACAACTTACAAAAAAAAATATTTATAATCTAGACACGACCTACTAACTACTTATTATTGATACTTACTCTGTGTATACCTAGTTACAAATAGTAGCCAGAGTTAACCTTTATAATGCTAGTACATTATAAAGGTGAAAGCCAGAGTGTCACTTAAAAGCTATATAGTGTCGCTTTTGCTGCGGTATAATCAAAGATTTAGGAAAAATTGTATTTTAGAGATACACCGTAACCAAGCAAAAATGTGGATACATACTTATACCTAAATTGTAGGTTTTAAGCAGGCAAAAAGCAGTGTTTGTAACACTTTATTATTATCTGCACAATACTCTATGCCGCTACCAAACTGTTAGAAAGGACAGAATGAACAACAACATATAAATTATGTGTGGCCAACTATTAAACTGCACCGTATTCCATTAC